CAAGCAATATAGCATACATTTTTCATTATCTTGTTTGGGATTAAAAACATAGCCAGAGTATTAACAAAGACTACATAGATATAAGGAGAGTAAGTTAACAGGATTTGGCTCTAACATAATTTAAAGCTTGAATTTGATATAGGATTCATATAGCTAGAAAGGCTTGTAGAGTATGTTAGAAAGGCAGGAAAGCTAAGGTCGGAATTCTGACCCCAGAACCCCCTTTTAGCCCTACTTATCTCATATTGCTAATTATTTATATATCTCATATTGCTAATTATTTATATTGCTAATTATTTATATTTCTCTAATTATTTACTTATTTAATTATTTACTATATATTTTTAAATATAGAAAAGGGACCACAGGATGAAAAAATCAAAAAATTGAAGATGCTTAAAGACCCAGTTACAAGGAGGCTTCGGTCTCATAGGCTTGAGCAAATAATAAATAATAACAGATACCACAGTCCAGAATTATCAAAAATAGACTCTAATGAACCTAACAAGCAAATAGTTGTAATTTGGAATCTTCATTGGCGTTTTACTATCATAAATTTATTCACATTTGTTCAATTAATATTAATGATAAATTAACATTCTAATTTAAATATTTTGCAAATTCTAATTTAATTATTGATTAGTTGCGTGATTTTTTGCAGCATTATGTAGACAAAGCATCAGTTTCACGTACAACAAGAAAACAAGTTTATGATCAAAAAAGACTTGCAGAAAATAGTTATGAACCACTAACTAATGCTCCCGATTGGACTATAGCTGGGTATCATGGTGCTTTGAGGGCTCTAATTAGAAGATATTTTTAAGAATTCAAAAATATGCAAACCAAAAATGAATAATGCAAAAATGATAAATGTAACAAAAAGCTTTTCAAGATTTTCTTATATATGTACAAAATAACAAAGAAAACATGCATAGATATGTTTACAGCTAAAAACTATATAATATCAAAAATTTGCTTTCTTAAATTTTATTATTTTTTTGTATAATGAGTATTCAATTTCAAGGCATGTATACATATATATACGTCATGACCATATATATATAAAGCAAAGAGAAATAATTAAAAAAACTTTATTTTGGATTATTATTAGCTTTATATGCTATAAATGGCTAGATAATATATTTACAATTTTTTTTTGAATTAACTAATTTTCAAGAGTTATATCTTGGTGTTTTAATAAATTTTGAAAGTTTTCCCAATAGACAAAACTTATTGGTTACCTTAATAATATGTAAGTATAATTGGCAGTTAAACCCAATTTAATTTTATATTATTTGAGTGTTGCTAAAGAAAACCAACAATTTAAATATAGACTTATTTAAATTGTCAAGTTTTCTTTTAGCA